GGGACCCTACTCAGAGAAGCAGTGACACCAGAGATGGAGGCAGAGATGATGACGTGGAGAGATGGAGCGGCTAGGGACTTTAGATCCAGAAAGGGAGAGGGGCTGTGTGCTGACAACGAGGGGGCATGCTTGCAGGGTAAACCCTTTGGTTGGTTGATGATGCATGGAGGGGATTATAACCATGGCAATGAGATGATATAAGATAGGATGAATATAAAACTAATGTTCTCCCATGTAATCTATCACATAATTCACAATAAAACATTAAAAAAAAAAAAAAAGTAAGTTTCAGAGTCTCTTTGGACATGAATGTTTGTCTTTTCTTTGTTTCCTGTCTTTTTAATGACTTTTTTATTATCTTCCTGTGAGATGTTCTTGATGACATTCTATAGCTCTCTGGTCTTCAGTCATTATTGTCTAATGTATCAAATCTGTTCGTGAGATAGTTTCTAAATTCAAGTGGGATATATGCAAAACCATATTTTGGTTCTAGTAGACTTGTTTTAATTTTCTTCAGCTTCAGCCTGAACTTGCATATGTGCAATTGATGGGTTTGTTCCACAGTTGGCTCCAGTCTTTTTTTTTTTCTTTTTTTTTTTGGTGATGATGTTCAGTTTCTCCATTATGTTTTCCTCACTAGATCTCTGTGTATTCTATCTAGTGAGGTCCATTTGTATAGTTTCTGTTCATGTTGTTAAATAAATGAGGCCTTGATAGATATGACATATTTCTGCTTTCCTTCTTGAACCTTTTCTTTCATGGTAAGAAGAACATACCCAGGTTAGCCTTTGGTTCCATGATGAGGATAAGGAACATGTGGAGAAGAATTGCCCAGCTAAGCCCTACCTAGATCAACTGATATAGATTTATCAGGCATAATTAATGGTGGTTATTTTAACCCACTGATCTTTGGGCTAATTTGTTATGTAGCAATAACTAACTGAGACAGTAGCATAATAATTTGTAGTTTCCTGTGGTTTTGTGCATGTTCCCTACCTTTGGCCATACATCTAGGTCAGCTAGAGTTAAAATCAACAGATTGCATAGATGGACTTTACCCTGACTACAATAAGCAGCAAATTAATGCTTGAGAATTGAGATCCAATAATAGTAAAACCTTCCATCCATTTGCCAAACTTGCATTCTGTGATAGTTTGTGTGTTGCTACGATGTTAGAAGCTATGTTACTGGTATTTCAAATATTATCAAGTTCACCCATAGTGGAAAGGATTCAGTGGTGCTTCCAGAATAATTTAGACTAAGAAGGAAGTCTTGACAACATACTTCCAAGGATTAGCTAATGAAAATGCATGGATCACAAGAGAGTATGCCCAATATTGTGCTGGAAGATGAATCCTCTATATTAGAAGATAGTACACAATAGTCACAACAATGGGAACAAATATACTAATGATCATGAAGCTGGCCTAGGACCTGACTCTGTTTTGTTCTGTTCACCATGAGATAGTGATAACTCAACAGCCCAAAGCAACAATAGTAAAATAATGGCTGACCCCAAAGTCTCCACTGTTTCTTTCTAAGTAAATTGAAGACTTTCCTGACAATCCCAAAGACTGAGTCAATGAAATTGGCTATGGATGTTTCCCTCATTATCACAACTTTGAAGTATCCCTGGGAGGGATGGCAAATCTGCTGCCACAACCTAAGGCCACACTGAAAATTCAGTGTTTCTAAGGTGACACAATTCACCTGCTTTCTAAATAACTGCAGAATGTATCATCACAGGCCTTTAAAGATCATCCTAGATCTAAATAGCATGTCTTATTCCTTTTATCCATGTCCTTAGAATTTCTGTTTCAAAAGATGTTGACTATATTTGCCCTTTCCACTGTCTCTACTTGACAAAGCCTGTTACTACATGGATGTTAATGAGATCTCAGGACCAAGACATTGCCAATTCAAAATGAAAATAATCACTTAGTGTGACTGTTACATCCTCCCCGCAAAGCCACAACAAAACACATATGTCTATTTTAAAAGAAACTCTTGAAGTTAAGACTCTTTGACTCATAAATTTGAAAAATGACTGTTGTTGTTGTTGTTGTTAAGTGCTGTCGAGTTGGTTCCGACCCATAGCGACCCTGTACAGGGTTTCCGAGGGTGTAAATCTTTACGGGAGTAGAAAGCCTCATCTTTCTCCCGCGGAGCAGCTGGTAGTTTCGAACCACTGACTTTAGGTTCGCAGCCCGATTTGTAACCACTACGCTACCAGACTAAAACAAAGTCTACTGAATAATATACCATCATATTTACCAGAACAGAAACAGAGATTTAAAATAAACAGGCAACATATTTCATAGCTCTAGAGAAAATAAATATATACATACCTGGATTGATGTGATTTTTCTCCCTGAAATTAAAAAAAAAAGTATACAAATACATACATGTGTAGATACTTTTGTGTGTTATATGCATATATGCATGCACATATACACTCACAGTTTTAGTTTTCCTCAAATCCACCCCAAATTCCAAAGCAGACATCTTGAAAGGAGAGCTGATTTAATCTCCTTGACAAAATGTTTTGAATATTTTGGGGGGTTGGAGAGAAATGGTATTACAAATTTGAATAATTTGCTCTTTCTCTTTTTAAGCCAGCAACACCAGGCTGTCTTCAGTGGGGCATATTTGCAACAAGGCTACCCATCATTTTCCAGTGTCTGAGGCATCATTTACAAATTATCCTTGTGGGCTCTTTCTCAAAGTGCCTTCAAGAATATGAGGAGAACAAAGTGAACTAGCCCTTCATTCTCTTTCCAAAGTGGGTCCCAAACACTGCGATTCATCCATGACTCCCTGTGCTAGTATCTCATCATAGAAGCCTGTGGCATTTGGGGGAATGTGGCAACCCCCAAACCAAGATTGCTTTGCTTAGAGCCGTGTTACCTGAGAACTTGGGCGTTTTGGGGTGGGATTGGATGGAGGTGAGGCTTGCTGAAGAGACCCCTTGTTGATGGGCTGAAGACTGGGTGGAGCATGCTTATTAGAAGGTTCAGCATCAAAAGACTCTATTGAGTCCATTGTATTGAAGGCCCTTTCAGGATCCTGGAGTCTCAAGGGAAGTATGTGGTGGGAAGAATCTTTTGGGCTTCCAGGTGGACTCCTGACAAGATTGTACGTGGGACTTGCAGGCTCCTTCCAACTTCCCCAGGTGGGCACCTCCAAGGCATCTTGCTGTGGCATTGAGTTCAAGGTCCCACATCCACTGCCTCTTAATCTCCTCAAAGTGGGAGAAGTAGAAATGCGGCCTGGGGCTTGCCGATCAAATAGGAGAAGATTCCCGCGGTTCTCATAGTGTCTCTGAGGACATGTCCCACTGCTTTTGGGCTGCAAATCTGGGCTGCTGAGGGGGTCCATTGCCAGAAACTTCTGGGACACGCTATCCAAGTTGCTGCTTTCTTGGTCACACTGGTGTGGCTCAGTTTCTACATGTGAGTACCACTCTTCCCTAAGTATGTCTGTGTTCTTTTCAAGAGAGTCATCACCAGTAGGTTGTTGCTTTTTGAATGAGGAAGAGCAGAATGTGGAATCTGTTACAAATGAGAGACTGAGATGAGAAAAATGTTGTCTAACATTTCAAATGACAACATCTAGGAGACAGAGGCCAGTTAACATTGTTGTTGTGTTAAGTGCCCTCGAGTTGATTCTGACCCACAGTGACCCTGTATAGGGTTTCGGAGGAGCAGCTGGTGAAGTTTTACCGCCGACCTTGCAGTTCAAACAGCTTCCCAGTCTGACTCATTAACCCACAGCACCACATCAGGACTCCCAGTTAGCATTGGTGGTGGTGGTTATGTGCCGTGGAGTTGGTTCTGACTCATAGCTACCTATACAGGGTTTCTGAGGCTGTAAATCTTTACAGGAGCAGAAAGTGTCTCCCGCAGAACAGCTGGTAGTTTCGAACTGCTGACCTTGAGGTTCGCAGCCCAATTTGTAACCACTATGCTACCAGAGCTCCTTCCAGTTAGCATTAACAGCCTTTATGTTCTGAGGATAATTAACTTAGATGATTCCAGCCTTCCCAGCAAGTTTATATGTTTACTCTTTACTTATTATCTCTTTTGAATTTGGGCAAAGAAGCTTTTAAAAAAGTTAATGATCCAAAAGAAATCTTGGAAGCCACCAAGCTCATCTTTTGATTATTACATTTTAAGAGAATCAAATATACAATAATTATTCCTTGTATTTGGCATTCATTCATTCAGTGGTTTATTTTAGTGTGATTTAGGAATATATAAACAAGGAAAATTAGTCCCTAACTTCAAGGTAACTTAAGTTACTAAATGAGTTATGGCTTTAAATATACTGATGTGAAGTATTTGATGAAAGACATTTTTGCACTATCATTCTTTATGTTTTTAGAATGTTCTGTAGTACATAGAGTTGCACATTACAACATGCATTGGAAAAAATAGCTTGAGTGTTTTAAAACAAAACAAACACATCAAATCCACAAACACCTGGCTGTCACGAAATGTCCTGTTTCTCATGAGTAGAAATGTTTTCAAGGATTCACTGTTGCAAGCTCACTGCCACTGAGTCCATTCCAACTCGTAACAGCTATGGAGTAGAACTGTCCCATAGCATTTCCAAGGCTATCTATCTTTAAGGAATCTGACTGCCCCATCTTTCTCCTGTGGAGTGGCTGGAGGGTTTGAACTGCCAATTCTTTACGTTAGAAGTTAAGCATTTCACATTGTGCCATGAGGACTCCTTTCTTTTCCTACGGAAAGCTAATTCTACCATTTGACAACTCGATTGCCTATGAAGAAGGTAGGGACATGTGGGAAAGCATTACTCCTTACCCATCCCTTTGATGATTGTGAACACTTATTGATGGACAGACAAGGTGTAACACCAGCTCATTGCTGTCCAGTCGATTTGGACTCAGTGACTCTGTAGAACCAAGTCGATCTCTTCCTTAGTGTTTCTGAGCCTGTAAATCTCTATAGGAGCAGGCAACCTCAGCTTTCGCCCTTGGAGCAGCTGGTGGGTTTGAGCCTTTCGGTTGGCAAACCAAAGCCTAACCCACTGTGCCACCAGAAATCCTTAGACCTGGTGTGGAACAGATAATATATACTATCTTCTCTTGAAAGGGTAATCTGGATTGTGAATGGAAGAAAAGTATTTGACTACATAATCTGAATTTAGCCTTGTTGTTGCTGTTAAATGTCAATGTGTAGGTTCTAACTCTTAGTCACCCTGTATAGGGTTTCTGAGGAACAACTGGTGGGTTTGAACCACCAACCCTGTGGTTAGCAGTCCAGTGTTTATCCTATAGAACAATACCAGGGCTCCTTTTAACTAGATATCATATCATACCTCTATAATTCAGTCAGAGCCAAAGATGGAAGAGAACTTAGTCTTACTAAGTTTTAATTCTAGAGCACAACTTAGCTATCTGGAAGCCTTGGGGAATGGATCTATTTGAACAATCATATTTTAAGGATTCCTAATAACTTGTTGTTCAAACCCACCAGCTGCTTCTTGGAAATCCTATATAAGGTTGCTATGAGTTGCAACTGACCTAATAGCACTTAACAATAACAGCAATAACTTATTGGAGTCCTGGTGTGGCACAATAGGATAATGCATTGAACTGCAGGGTAGGAGTCCAAACCCACCAACTGCTCCTTGGAAACCCTATACAGGGTCACTATGAGTCAGAACTGATTCGGTGGCACTTAACAACAACTATAGCTAATTAGTCATGTGTATGGCTCTGTAGGATAAGCACTGGGCTGCAAGATCAATTTGAACCACGAGGTTGATGGTTCAAACTCACTAGCTATTCCTCGGAAATGCTATACAGGGTTACTATGGGTCGGAACTGACTCAATGGCACTTAACAAAATGACTTATTTTTTTGTGCTATATATTTTAATTAAGGAGCTCTGGTAGCGTAGTGGTTACGAATCACGCTGTGAACCAAAAGGTCAGCAGTTCGAAACTACCAGCTGTTCCGTGGGAGAAAAATGAGGCTTTCTGCTCCCGTAAAGATTTACAGCCTCGGAAACCCTGTACAGGGTCACTATGAGTCAGAACTGACTCCATGGCACATAACAATAACAACAACATATTTTAATTACACTTAAAATCATTTTAGTAGAGCTTCTTCTACAGCCTCTTATTAATTTCCTCTTTATAATTGAGAATTTGTTGTTGTTATTAAGTGCCATCAAGTTGGTTCTGACCCACTGTGACTCTGTAGAGGGTTTCCAAGGAGAGGCTGGTAGGTTTGAACTGCCGACCTTGTGGTTCAAGCTGACCTTATGGTCCAGTGCATTATCCTGCAGTGCCACACCAAGACTCCTTAATACTGACTACCAAGTAAATCTTTCTTGATGACCTGGCCTCATGTGGACATGCTGGGTACCATTGTGTTGATTCTGACTTATGGTGATCCTATGTGACAGGGTAGAACTGCTCCATAGGATTTTCTTAGCTGTTATATCTTTATGGAAGCAGATTGCCAAGTCTTCCTTCCATGGAGGCACTGGGTGGGTTTGAACAGCTAGTCTTTTTGTTAGCAGCTGAGAGTTTAGCTGTTACTTGGCCAGGGCTCCTTTTATCATTATAGTACTGTGCTGAAACACAGTAATTTTTACTATGCTTATTGCATCCCAGTGGAGGATACAGTAATTGTTGCAGATTTTTATACCCTGTGCTTGTTTATTTCCAGATAAATGGTTCCTCAATGATCTTCTCCTTGGTTTTCATTGATCACTTTTCATTATATGCATACTTGCCTATAGCAGCCACTCCCTTTCAATTTGTTTCTTCTAATCAGTTTCAGGCACAAAAGTTCAGTTTTGAGAGAATGAATAGGCTCTTTGATTTGCTCTATCAATAAAGAGGAGGTATCCAATGTCAGGTCAATGATATTGGGATTCCAAGCTCTTTTAAATTTGCTCCCTGACGCTCATCTGGTTTAAAGAGAAATGAAATGAACAATACTGGATTTTAAATTGGAGAATTATGTAGCTACCAACTAACGCCAATTCATTTCTTATAAATATGAAATACTTAATGTTGGGGTTGCTTTAATACATTGAGCTAAGGACTCAGTGTTATAGAACTTGACATATAGAAATGAAATGCATTAAGTATCGTTCTGAGGAAGGTTAGATCAATGGTAAAATTACATTTCGTCGAGGTGGGATTGAACCAGTTTTGTTTTTTAGGTCACTGATACTGCCTGCTGCCCTGAAGGTGGATACTTGGGAAAATAATAACAAGTTAGTTGCAGTCCTGAACACCTGCTGCTTGATGAAAGGGCCAGTTCCTCATTCTCTGACAAATAAGTGGTTGAGTTTAGGGCTCAAGTTACTTAGGTACTTTAACAAATGCCTAGACCCAGGGACTTCTTTATATGATAATCTAAGTTCTAGGCAGCAGCAATCTTAAAGGAATGCAGGGTGTTTATATAGGCACTTGCGTAATGTATCATAATTCTTAGCCCTGGAGTTTTCCCTTCTGTCCTTTTGACCTTCTTTCTCCTCCTTTGAGAGGTTAGCATGCAACTTTGGATTTCCTTTCTAAACATTCAGACAAAGGGGTGTGGCCATGGTCAGGAAGTTATATAGGACTGATGACCATATTATATCCTAACCATTGCCCTAAATATACTGGAACCATGTGGGTCAAGGTGATAATAAATGCTGACATTACTCACCGTAGAACTGAAGGAACTTTAAATGCAGCAGGGTTAGGGGATGCAGTTTGCAAAGAGTAAAGGAGAGCCCAGGGTCTGCAGACAGATAGATCTGGTTTCTCTCTCAGCCTTATGCCCATGTGAGGGCAAGCTACTTGGCTTCTGTCAGACTTCGTGTGTATCCATGTTTATAAAAGGACATCAAAGTACTTCCCTCCGAGACTTGTTGCAGGGATCACATGAGACATGGGCTGCAGCACCTAAAAAGCCTTTTCTAAATGACCACCCCCGGAGGTATAGCCATTCAAGAGTCAAAAGGTAATAGCAAATTTATTCATGCTTATTCTTCTCCACAGTCTCTGAAAGACAAAATTAATTCATGATCATCACAAAGAAAACCCAACTGTCTTCAGTCTCCCAAGCTGAAAGAACCCAATGAACACTCACCCACACAGTTGGGGAAATGGTCGAGCTGTACTTGGAATGAAACCACACAGAGATGAATGATCCGCTAATTCAAATGAGACCTGAAAGACAGGCAAAACAGAACCAAGTAAACCTGGCAGCAACAAGACCTGAACAAATAGAAAGTGCAAGACAGACAAACAGAAAGCAGCTTAATGTCCCCTTTAGTACCTGCAGGATGGTCTGCCTTGGAGCCTGACATTGTCCAGGTGGCTGGTGGTGACAATAGAGAGAGTGC